CGGCTCAGGGTCCCTTTTGCGGCCCCGCCGACGCTTCGGTCTCCCCCTCAGGTAACGCAGAGTTTGTCAGGGCCGATCCCTTCGTGGGGAGAGCCCTGAGCTGCACCCCACCTCTAATGGCCTTCCTTGTCAAGAGGACACAGCTCGTATTCACAGGCCGACTTCCCTTACCCAAAAATGATCCATTTTGGTTTTTTTCTTCTCCACTTTAGGTTGCTTATTACCTCGCCTAGGCTCAGCTTCTGCCAGCTTTTACATGGGGTGGCTTTCCATGGGTCCTGCTGCGTGGTCCCTGCTGGCACCGAAGCATGCTCTAAACCCCGTGATACGCGAAACCCTTTAGATTAAGCTGGTTTAAATTTAAAATTAGCGCTCTGCAATATTTTTGACCTGCCTCCTCGGCGATGTTTGCTGTGTGCTAAACCAGCCAGGGCGAGGAAGGAGACCAAGAGGTTGTTTCAGGGCTAGGCATGACCTGCCTCAGGTTGAGTGTAACCGTAACCACGAAACCTCCCTGCCCCACGGGTGATGTGGGATGGCTCCCTTCTGCTCCACGCAGCCCCAGCAGCTGCCTGCTGCCGTCTCTCGGCGCCAGGTGGGTGTTGCCATGCAAAAGTGCAGTTGAATGCCCCATTTAACACCTTTTGACCCCAGCTTGGGTTAAGGGTTGAAGGCCTGAGGTAGCGTCTCTGTCTGTGCTGGAGTGAGAAAATCCATCTCCTGTGAAATTCCCGCTGTGGATGAAACGAGCTGTTGTATTCAGTGTCAGAAGCGCGCTGAGAGGGTTCGGTTAGTCCTTCCCATCTCATCCTTGCCAGGTCTGCTCTGGTCCAAAGCAGGCTAGCACATGGTCCCAACTTCTCCCGCAGAGCGATTCTTCGATAGGAAACGGACCACCAGCTCCGGGTTTCACGGCATCTGTCTCCTTTCTCTTCTCAAGAGTACGAGGACCAGAGCTCGCTGCCTCGGTGCGGTTCTTGCCTGCCAGGAGCAATCCCTGCAGGGCGAGGGCTTGGGTGCTGGGGCACGTTTCAGCATCTGAGGGATCTGTGGGCTCATGGTTTCAGAGCAGCATCTTTGCTCAAGCAGCATGGCTGCTCCGGGTTGCTGTTTTATTGCAAATGTTCAACTTGCCTCCTGCCTTTTGCATCGTTAAAGAGGTGTTGGAGAGCGCTGCCGGCTGCTCGCTGTGCCGCGGGGAGGGAGATGTGCTTGTGACGTGAGGACACTCCAGCAAATATTCCACTCTCTGCCCCTGTACCCTCCGGGTGGACATTTGATTCCCCAATTTTCCCTTCTCCATCTTCCAAAGTCTGTAAGTTTGCAGATGACACCCAGCTGGGTGGGAGTGTGGGTCTGCTCGAGGGCGAGGAGGCTGCAGAGAGCCCTGGGCAGGCTGGAGCCATGGGCTGAGCCCAACTGGGGGAGTTTCACTGAGGGCAAATGCCGGGGGCTGCCCTTGGGCCACAACAACCCCCAGGGGGGCTCCAGGCCTGGGGAGGAGTGGCTGGAGAGCTGCCGGTCAGAGAGGGACTAAAGCTGAGCCCTAAAGCTGCCTGGCAGAGACGACATTTCCTTGAGCGCAGCTTTGGCTGGCACAGCATTGGGTTTAGTCACGATGGGCAACATTGCTGTAAGAGTATCCTTGGCCTTGGCATGGCGTCGGTGTCACAGGCACGCAGCGTTCCCCTTCCCGCCTCCAGTCCTGAAACTGAAGGGCTGGGAGTTGTTTTTCTCCCACCCTGTCATGATGCCCAGGACAGGGGTGGCAATATCCCTTCCCTGGGAGGCCTGGAAGGGGCTGCTGCTTCCCGAGAGCCCCGGCCCTGCTTCCCCACCTGTTTAGAGCTTCTCCTGTTTCAGTCCGGGAGAGGAGGGAACATGGGCCGGGGCCAGGCACCATGGAGAGGCCACCCTCCCCCTTCTAATCCAGCCATCTGCCCATCCTTTAACGAGTTAACCCGTTAACTAGTCCTGGTGTCAGTACTGAGGGCTCTGGCAGACCATGGAGGAGCAGCTCCCCGAGGCGCTGTGGCGGCCGCCCCAGGCCTGCTGCCAGAGCCCACCCTGGGGCCTGGCTGGGGGCTGTCTGTGCCACCCTCAGCCCACGGCAGAGCCGGTGCCGCATGATCCTCCCCAGTTTTTGGGGAGAAATATCTGTCCAGAGATGGGGGCGTGGGTGCCCATCTGTCTTTTTGCCCTGCCCAGAGGGGGTGTGGGCTTCCCAGCTCTCCTGCTGCGCTGCTTGTTGGGTGCAGAACACTTTAAGTTGGAAGAAATCCTTAAGATCATCGAGTCCGAGGTGGCCAAACTGCATCCCGCGGGCTCCTCCGTCCCTGGCTGCAAGGGTCTCTCTCTTTGCAGGATACGCACATTTTGCAGCAGCCGTGGCACGGGGAATCGCTCCGGAAGCCGAGACAATGAAGCTGTTGGAGAACTCAAGTTTCGAAGCAATAAACTCTCAGCTGACGGTGGAGACGGGCGATGCTCACATCATCGGCAGGTGGGTGCTGGCTCTGGCGGGGAAGCAGAGCTGCTTTCTCACTTTTTTTTTTTTTCCTCTGGAAAAGCATCAAAAAGTAGGCAGAGGAGAGGCCGCGCTCGCTTAGTGCCACACTCTACTCTCGTGCCACCACTCCCTCTGTGGCCCCCTGCGCGATCACTGACGAGGAGGTCGCTCGCTAACGAGCAGGTCCGTGGCTCTGCCCCAGAACTCTGCTCACAGCCCTGTGGGGTGTCATGTCCCGGGGCGAGAGCCCCGAACTGAGCCGTGGGGCACCACAGGGCGAGACGTATGAGGGCTCAGGATCTTGTTACGGCCAAAGAGGGGACACAGCTCTTATGTGTAACCGTCTCTTATTAGGATAATTGCAATTATTTAGTGATTCTTATTCATCCTTACTCAGGAATTGCTATTAGTCTCCTCTAATTATTACAGAGCAGGAATGATAATGCAGTGAGGTCACCCCTATACAGAGAAAGCCTCTAGTAATGACTTTAATTGCAGTAATGGCAATAACAATAGTAAGTTATTAGTATTTAATTTTTTGTAAGTTATTACAATTTAATTGCAACACACACTCGCGCTCCTGTTTCAGTCCCTCTTTCTGGAGGTGGAGCTCCCTCCCGCTGCTCTGCTGGCTCTTGCAGGAGGTGGGTGAGCTGTCGCCCTCCGGGTCCTTCCCCGGGAAGAAGATGATGTTCACGTTGATGATTTCTCTGTCCTCGCTCTAGGATCCACCTGGGGTCATTTTTATACGATCATTAACACGCTTCAACAACTTTTCTTTTTTTCTCCTTGCTCTGCCGCCCCGTGTTACAGCTGAATTTACACAGTGCCTTTTCTGTATGCTGGAGGCTACCCATTTGTCCCCTCTGCTGCCCCTAAAACCAGTTCGGTCCCAGTCCAGCTCCCCATTTCTCTAGCTGACTGCTGCCGAGCTGTTCCTAACTTCCTCCAGCGCCAGGCTGGGCCCTTCTCGTCCCACCCTGGTACAGAGCTCACCGGCAGCGGTGACGCCGTGTCATGGTGCTGGGGGGGGCGGAAGCGCTGGCTGCTCTGCTGGTTCTCAGGCTTTTGAGGTGCAAATCCAGACCCCGTGGACTTTGGTTTTGCTTCTGAGGGATGCGGGCGCTGAGGCGGGCTAGGAAGGGAGGTTGATTCCTCATGGATTGCAGCTGCCGCCTCTTTCCGACGTTTGTTTTGGTGCCGTTTTGGTGTTGTTGCTGCTTAACCGCCGAGCAGCATCTCCCCTCAAAGTAGGGGGCTCCGAACAGCCCAGGCCTGGTGCTGGGTGGGTCCTTTGGGGGACCTTCTTCCTGCAGCCCTTGGTCGTCTTCTCTCTGGGGCAGGGAAGCTCCAGAAAGGAGCAGCACTGGGATCTGAGGAGCTTCCTCGGCGATCCCTGAGTGGCTGGAAGCTCTGTCAGGAGCTTTTCTGAGTCGTGGGTGTGACGCCAGGGCAGGGGCTTGGTGGCCCGGCAGTCCCTGGGGTTGGCTTGTCCACCCCGGGGCAGAGGGCGGGGGGGCTGGTAAAGAAGCTTCTGGTAAAGAAGCTGGTAAAGGCGATCACCTGGGGGGCACCAGAGAGATTTTCTGTACAGTTTGGGTTGGGAGAGACGTTAAAGCCCATCCAGTGCCACCCCTTATCCCCCAGGCAGGGCCACCTTCCCCCAGCCCAGGTTGCCCAAAGCCCCGTCCAACCTGGCCTTGAACCCTGCCAGGGAGGGGGCAGCCACAGCTTCTCTGGGCAGCCTGTGCCAGGGCCTCACCCCCCTCACAGGGGAGAATTTCTACCTTAGATCTGATCTAAATCTGCCCTCTCTCAGCTTAAAACCATTCCCCTCATCCTATCCCTCCGCCCTGATGACGAGTCCCTCTCCCCTTTCCTGCAGCCCCTTTCAGCCCTGGGGGGGCCGCTTTAAGGTCTCCCCGGAGCCTTCTCTTCCCCAGCTGAACCCCCCAACTCTCTCAGCCTTTCTTAATATAAATGTTCCAGCCCTCAGAGCTTTCCAGGCCCCTCCAACAAGCTCCTTTGGCCGCTCTGTGTGTGTCGGCACAGGGCAGCTTGGGAGCCAGCGGCCATCTCGGCTCAGGATGGCAGCGAGAGTCCTCCCCCTGCGCTGGCTGCCAGGGGGCTGGTCCTTCGCTAGCTGCGGATCTATTTTTGGTCGTGGCCGAAGGGATCCTTTTCAGGCTTGTCACTGGCATCAGTTTGGCTGCCTTCTGCCTCTCTCTTGAGCTTCCTGTGCTAGCAGGGAGGCCAGGAGAGCATGCTGGGATGGCTCCTACCTCCCCATTCAGTCCAGCCAGCCCTGTCCCCGCCTTCCTGGGCCAAAATTCTTTATCTCCACATGTAGGTTCGGCCCAGCAGCCTGAAGGAGTGTCACTCGTGGGGACCGGAGATTCTTTGGCTGCACTAGCTGCCTCCTCCAAGTCCCCACCGCCGCTGTGGTGCTGGGCTGGCACCTCAGTGGTGCTGGTAGCCAGGTCCCACCACGGCTGGGGTGGCCTCTAAGCGTGGTGCTGGGTGTCTCCTCAGGATCGAGAGCTACTCGTGCAAGATGGCTGGCGACGACAAGCACATGTTCAAGCAGTTCTGCCAGGAGGGCCAGCCGCACGTCCTGGAGGCCTTGTCGCCTCCCCAGACCACGGGGATCAGCCCCAGCAGGTACCAGGGGCTGGGGGGGTTTCTCTGCTGAGCTCTGCACTGCAGGCAGCAGCGTGTCTGCAGGCGGGGGGCCGGGATTCCTTCTGGGAAGGACCCTCCTCGGTGGCTGGTGTCATGGCTGTGGCCCGGAGCTGGCTTGTCCATAGAATCACCGGGTTTCTGAGGTCGGGAAAGACCCCGGAGCTCCCCGAGTGCAACCGAGCCCCCCTGGCGCTGCCCAGGCCCCCCCTGACCCGCGTCCCCCCTCCCGGGCTGGCGAATCCCCCGCTGCCCTGGGCGGCCGGTTCCGCACTCAACGACCCTTTTGCTGGAGAAATTGTTCCCAACATCCCCCCTAAACCTCCCCCGGCGGCGCAACGTCAGGCCGGTTCCTCCCGTCTCGGCGCTCCCGGGGGAGAAGGGACCGACCACCCCTCGCCCCCAGCTCCTTGGGGGCAGCTGCAGAGAGCGACGAGGCCTCCCCTGAGCCCCCTTTTCCCCAGGCTGAGCCCCCCCAGCTCCCCCCTCCCAGGACTTGTGCTCCAGCCCCTTCCCCAGCTGCGCGGCCCCTGGGACGTGCTCCAGCCCCTCCGTGTCTTTCCCGGAGCGAGGGGCCCAGAACCGAAGCCGGGATTCGAGGGGGACGAGCCCTGCCCGAGCCCTGCTGGCCACGCGCCCTCCGACACCAGCCGGGGATGCCGGTGGCCACCCAGGCACGCTGCTGGCTCGTACTCAGTGTTGTCCCAGCCCGTGCTGGAGCCGCCGCTAACCCACGGTTCTGCCTCCCAGGCTCAGCAAGAGTCAGAGCGGCGACGAGGAGGGACCTCTGAGCGACAAATGCAGCCGCAAGACCCTCTTCTATCTGATAGCGACGCTCAACGAGTCCTTCCGCCCAGACTACGACTTCAGCGCCGCCAAGAGCCACGAGTTCAGCCGGGAGCCAAGCCTCAACTGGGTGCGTGAGCCGGCTCTGCTGGGCCTCCCTCCCTGTCTGTCCACAGACGGAGCGGGAAGTGTCTTCTTGGATTGGGGAATTTCACCCTTTTTGTGGAGAGGCTTTGAGGAAGCCGCCACGCTCTTCGCTGTCACCTGGCGTGATCCCCACAGATCCTCTGCTGGGTTTTCCCTCTCCAGCCGAGCACTCCACTGCAGCCTGGCCCCTTGCTTCCACGTCAGGGCCCTGAGTTCTCCTGGGCCATCTCACTTCTCCCCCTCTGTGGTCCTGGTCGGGCTCCAACCTCTCCTCTCAATTCAGGAGGGATGGGGAGAAAATGGAGGGTGGGAGGGGGGCAGGCAGCGGCTCTGCTGCTCCTCACGCCCCTGCTCTGTCTCTGTAGGTGGTGAATGCTGTCAACTGCAGCCTCTTCTCTGCGGTGCGGGAGGATTTCAACGCCCTGAAACCTCACCTGTGGGACGCAGTCGACGAGGAGATCTGTCTGTCCGAGTGTGACATCTACAGGTAACAGGGCAAGTGCTCGCCCCTGGGCCTGTGGAGGAGCACAGTTATTTTCCTGTGAAAGGTTACATTTTGGGGACTTTGGGGCAGGGGGGCTCCTCACTGGCATTTGTTGGCTCCTGTGGAGGGGGAACTGCTGCCACCTTCCCCTCCCATGCAGGACTTCCACCGCCCTGGACATCTGCAGCAGCTGGGCTGGCTCTCACCCTCCTTCTGCAGCCGGCCCGTGGGCACAGGGCTTATTGCCACCCACACACGCTGGCCCATGGCCCGCAGCTCTGACCAGCCCTGCGCTGCCTGGCTCTGGGGACACCGTCTTGCTCCTGCCCACACGCTGCCTGCCCAGGCAGCTCCCAGCTGGCCCAGTCTCCCCCTTTCTCTCCCCCTTTCCCAGCAGGGTGGGCTCTGGGAACAGAACCCAGGGCCACTTTTCTCACACCTCCTCTTGTTGTTGCAGCTACAACCCTGACCTGGATTCAGACCCCTTTGGAGAGGACGGCAGCCTCTGGTCCTTCAACTACTTCTTTTACAACAAGAGGCTGAAGAGGATCGTCTTTTTTACCTGCCGTTCCATCAGGTCGGGCCACGCGACGCCTCTGAACCCACCCTAAAAAAGGGGATTGCCCTGTATCCTGGCAGAGGAGGTTCCTTTGGCCCCTGAGCTGGTAGATCCATGTTTTCCAAGGGGAATGGAGCTCAAGCAGAGCCCTGTTCCCTCCATCCTTCCGAGACACATGGACAAGCCTCGGGGCCATGGGAAGGAGGGGAGGCCCTTTGCCTGGCACCAGGCAGCTGCCTATGGGGATTGGGAAGACAATAACCCCTGGGGGGACATTGCCTGTTGCCAACCCCTCCTTCCCGTGGCCTTGATTCGGGTGCGGATGAGACTTCGGGCAGGGACCTGCACCCACCGGAGAGAGGAGCGGGATGTCCCCCCGCCGTGATGTGGCGGTGCGCAGGGGTGTCACTGGGCGCTGACGCGGTGCCGCCCCTTTCCCTCCAGCGGGTACGCGTACACGCGCCTGGAGGCTGGCAACGAGCTGGACATGGATCTCGGAGAAGAGGACGCGGAGGAGAACGGGGACGGCGGCGACACTGAGAGCGGCAGCATCGAGGAGGAGAGGTGCGGGAGCTGGGCGGGATGGCTCGGCCCGGAGGGATGGCTGCTGAGGGGAGAGGGGCTCTGGCTCCCGTTCCGAGGGGAGAGGGTGGCTCTGATCCCGCTCCAAGGGGGCAGAGGGGCTCCAGCCCCCAACTTGAGAGGGCAGAGGGGCTCCAGCCCCCGCTCCAAGGGGGCAGAGGGGCTCCAGCCCCCGCCCTGAGGGGGCAGAGGGGCTCCAGCCCCCGCTCCAAGGGGGCAGAGGGGCTCCAGCCCCCGCCCTGAGGGGGCAGAGGGGCTCCAGCCCCCGCCCTGAGGGGGCAGAGGGGCTCCAGCCCCCGCCCTGAGGGGGCAGAGGGGCTCCAGCCCCCGCCCTGAGGGGGCAGAGGGGCTCCAGCCCCCGCCCTGAGGGGGCAGAGGGGCTCCAGCCCCCGCCCTGAGGGGGCAGAGGGGCTCCAGCCCCCGCCCTGAGGGGGCAGAGGGGCTCCAGCCCCCGCCCTGAGGGGGCAGAGGGGCTCCAGCCCCCGCCCTGAGGGGGCAGAGGGGCTCCAGCCCCCGCCCTGAGGGGGCAGAGGGGCTCCAGCCCCCGCCCTGAGGGGGCAGAGGGGCTCCAGCCCCCGCCCTGAGGGGGCAGAGGGGCTCCAGCCCCCGCCCTGAGGGGGCAGAGGGGCTCCAGCCCCC